TCTGCATCAAATTGGGGGGCCTGTAAAAACGTCAAGACAATCTTGAAAACGTTTCGTTTGTGGGGTATATTTTAATGTTTGCCTAAAAATAATTCCAAAATTTTGCAATGCATTTCCGACATTTTAGATCACCTTAATGAACATATTCGCAAGCCAAGGGTTTTCGGTCGACTTCATTCCCCACAATGGAGTGAAGTGGACCGAAAACCTTTAGCTTGCGAAGATGCTCAATGAAAGGGGGGCTAATGTGATACCGTATGCGTCCCATGTTTTAGTTTTTGGAGCAGGTTTCATCGAATATGAAATGCATGGAAGGTGTTTGTAGTGAAGATTTTTTTAACCAGTGAAGGTTTCAGATGCTGCAATTTCAGCCTTCTCTAAAGAATGTTTTGGAGCATGTCTCATTTTTAAATAAATATAAGCCTTATTTTGACCAAACTCGCATGGATGATACATCTATATATAAGGATGCACATAACCATGCTTCGGATGCTGGATCTGTCCTACTTTTTCCGGAAGAAAGTTGTTGATCAGGTATCATTTCTAAATAACGACAGTCCCCAACTTGAAAGGATGACATGCGCGGGTCTAGAAGGGAGGGGTTGTTGCGAGATACCTTTTTTTTTTTTTGCTTGCCAACTAATTTCTGGTTTGGATTTATTTCACTGGAGAGGACCCCCCCCCCCCCAACCCCTGGAAAAAATTCCTGGAACCGCGCCTAGATGATCACACAACCAGGCTTGATTTGGATGCTGGATCCGACCAACATTTTCCAGATGAGTGACATGGCTAAAGTTTTAAAGCATTAATTATTTGCGCTATGCCTGGACTAAACTTCCAAGATTGATTCATCTAAGACTGCACAGTGGGCTTCGGACGCTGAATTTATTTAACAAGACTTTTAAATGTTAATTTTGAAAGATATATTTCATTCTGTTCGATTTAAATGAACAGTACTTTAATAGAATTTAGGAGTACTACTAAGTATATTCTCTCCTCTCCCTTCTCTCTTTCAGATCTATTGAAAATAATTTTAAGATCTATAAATTGATATTTTTTATGCCTCCTTACAAAATCAGCGCTAAATGCTGTGTGTAGCGTAATCAATTCAGACCAGTTTGGAAATTCTATTGATAAAATTGTGTTTAAAAACAATTTACTTGTGCTGTAAATATTTTTTTATAGTTTTGAAATAATTCCAATCCATGTCCTTGAATTAGGTCTACCCAAGTGTGTCGGGCATGTAAAAGATAACACATCTCCTCTTACAGTTTATTATTGCGAATATACGGAGTATTTAATGAGATGGGTCACTTCAACTTAGGAAAGTTTCTTTCGATAGTTGTTTTCCATATAGGAACTACATTTTTGTAATTTAATTTTAGAAATGATTTTAGGTATAAAATGCTAAAAATAGTCATCTATTGAACAGTTTGACACGCGCGTAAATCTTATCCTAGTTGTATTTTCAGTTGTATATTGGATTTTAAAACTGCACAGTTTGTTATCCGGAAATGAATCACTGAGAATCCCCCGTACAGGTAATATTGTCCCACCTTTATTTGATAACGAGAGCCAGGAAGTATGAAAAATGTCCACATCCGTTAGAAAGTGTTTACTACAAAGGTAAGTCGTGGTATTACATTCAATTGATTCTTTCCGATTTCTATATAAAGTTGAATCTGCCAACTCATTTTATTTGGTTCAGATAATCCTGGTATTATAATATTATTATACACACCTTTAAAAAGTTGCTTAAAAAGAATTTGGAGGGAATCTCTCTCTCTCTCTCTCTCTCTCTCTCTCTCTCTCTCTCTCTCTCTCTCTCTCTCTCTCTGTTGAAAGGAGGGGATGGGGTGGGGTGGTTAGGAACAAACTGCAATACTTCAAGTAAATTAATAACGACTAAAGACCGTCTTTATATTACAACTAATTCTGAAATGTAACAATATCCTGCCAAACTTTTATGCTTCATCGCATCTTTATATCGAATGGCCAGTGGACAAGTAGTAAAAATTTATTGATAATAAAACCCCCAAGTAGTAAACTGATAGGAGGATTTTACCCTTACTTTGGACTTTCAGTAGGCGTGACTTTCTCGGCGCTACGTAATAGCGAATACTAGTAGATTCTCATTGCTTACGAAATTAATAACATCAGGAACTTAAAATTGTTGTTGATAAAAATGAGACGACTTATGCCCCACCTCTGTGCCGTGAGAGAACTTTTAATTGGCTATTTACTACACCAGTTGACATTCGGCCGCATTTCTATCATATGTATATTTCAACAGTGAAGGAAAGCTGTGTAAATTTCAGAAGCTAATTAGGTAATGTCGAGAATGCCACGCCTTACTGAAAGTCCAAACTCAGCGTGTAATGGTAATAAATGAATGATATATATATATACATCTTACGAAGTACATGTACATGTCCATGTATTTGTTGAGATGAAAATTGTTTTTATTCAAAGCGTTTAACATTCATTGTTGAATACATATACATTCATTAAGTTTACTTCTTTTCGTGAGCCTTTTCTCATATTTATTATACCCCAATAAAACAATAAAAGTTAGTTTAGTCAATATTGATAGACGAGTATATATCGGTGTATTTGTAACTCTATCTGAAAAACATATTAGTTAAACCTTTTAAAATATGTTTGAAGAGGGCTTTTTTCATGATATGTCATTTTTTGACAGAAATGTTGTTTAAACCTTTAAAAACATCACTGAAATGTACATGGACTAGAGTGGTAAGACAATAAATGCTTAAAAACAAAGTGGAAATTATTGCAAGTAGTTTACACGAACAACAAACACAAGAAATTGAGTAGACTTTAGGTTGATAGATAAATATGAATGATTCATTCGCAAGCAAGAAATAAGATTTATGTTAAAACAATGTGGTTTTTGTTTAATGAAGTCACAGTTGGCCAAATCACCTTGTTTACATATACAAGTTAATTTATAATCGCCAAAATTTGAATTGGTTATGATAAAACATTTTTAATAATGCTGTAATACCCATTACGACATTAAATCAGTAAGAACCAGATAACTTCTTTGTTTGGTGCATTCTATACAAGGTATATAAGCACAACGTATACATACTCAAATGAGGCGATATCGTGTTACAAATGATACACGTGTATTCTTGAGACATACATATGTTACAGATCTGATACTATACAGACTGAATTTTCAGTCTGTTTTAAAATCTATTTGACTCAGTTTCAAGGAATGCTCTGTGTCTAATATTTTTGAAGTCAAATTAGAGAAGCAATCGGGTCAACCCACCCTCTCTTGTTGAAGAAATAAAATATACCTATATTAGGTTCTACCGCATGGTAAATTAATTCAAAGGATTTTGTTGTTTTGGTCTTTGTGTGAAGAATATGAGGTTATATAACTCCTAACCATTTTTTATTTTGTTCATAATTTGACCTTGACCATTTTGAGTGCATGACTTTCACATTAAAAGGAGAAAAATAGACATTTCTCTTTTTATATACTAAAAATACATTAATCTTTGCTATTTACTGTTTTTAGATATGGACACATTATCGGCTGTAAAATACTCCAGACTGAATACTAAAGATGAAAATGATTCTCCTTACACTTGCATAACACTTAAGAACTATGGATCATCCGGGTCGCCACGGCACCAATTTCCAATCAACGGTCATTTAAATCCGCTAGATGTCGAAAAAACTGTGAGTGTAAAACGTTAAATGGCTTAAATAAAGATTGCTCGCAAAATTGTACTGTATTCCAAAACTAAACTCGTTACATGTATTTTCTATTTTAGGAATACCCACCATCAAATGAAAGTGACCTCATACGTGTTCATAAACCTTTTAAAGATAGAACGAAATATGCTCTTCTTGCCTGCTTGTTTTGTTTTTTCCCTACTGGAATAATGGCTATCGTCTATGCATCACAAGTATATTCAAAAAAATTATTATTACTTTCATCTGACATACACTCAACATTTTCTTTTACCAGAAATCAACTGTCAAGACCAAAATATGAAGAACAGAATTTTCGTAAATAATATTTTGTTCCTTATAATAAAGATGTACGAGATAGACTAATTAAAACAGAAATAACGAATCCGTTTCTTTTAGGCAAGATCAGCATGGGAACGAGGCGAGGTGAAGAAAGCGCGGGAAAAATCCAGTTTGTCCAAAGACTTTATCCGAGCATCCGTCTGTATTGGAGGAATAGCATACACTTTGATATTCCTAGTTATTCTAATTACCGTCATTTTCAATGTACATGCTTGATATACTAGTACCTATCATTTACACGCAATGAGGATATACCATTTAGTCTTTCTGTAAACTCGAAATTTACATATGGGGATATTCCGAAAAGGAACAATATTTTGTTTTGTGAGTGAAAATATTGAAATTGAAATGGCATTTACTTTATTGTCTTCAATTATACACCTACACAAAAAGGAAAACTGCATTTATTATACATGTATATAGAAAACACAGATATTCATTGTTTGAGTGTAAAGATGTCTGAAATTTAGTAATCAGTGAGGAATTCAATCTCAGAATGCACTGATGGATGAATATATGAAGAGCATTTCAAAAGGAATAATATTTTATACCTGGATTTAAAACATGAGCGCGGATGCAAATTTAATCCTTTACATTATTTATTTATTGTTTGCAATTAATATAAAAGTGTTTCTTTGTACAATGTGTTACATTGTCCTTGTTATGCATGTAATTAGAAAATGTAACTTTTTTTCAAATGTTTAAAGGCTTCAATGGTGACATTGGCCCCTTACTACTAATAGTTTTGATTGCAAATACAAAAATTCAAAGCTTTCCGTGTCTTTGTAGGTGAAGTGTCGTTTTTTCTGGCATATTTTGTCAAATATGAACGCCCTTTCATATGTAATTCAGAAGTTATCATCGAATTTGATTTTTTAAAATTAGGTCAATCGTGAAGATCAAGGACAAGGGTCAGAAATCGTAGCATGCTCGGAAATATCTTGTCATAGGAAATGCACATTTCAAGTATGAAAGCCCATTCTCTATTCAATCAAAAGTTATAAGGAAAAAAGAACATTTTCGAAAATTAGGATAAACTTCAAGGACAAGGTCATAAGATAAAAAATTATAGTATATTTAGAAAGGTCTTGTCGCAAGCAATACACACATTTAATATGAAAGCTCTTTGTATTCTCATTCAAAAGACATGGGCAAGGTTAAAGTTTTTGAAAAGTAGGTCAAACTCCAAGGTCACGATGTCAAGAATCAAATTCTATTTAGAAAGGTCTTGTTACAGGTAATAAAAATACTTAATATGAAAGCCCTATCTCTTCTCAATCAAAAGTTATGACATATTCAATGTAATGTTTGATTTTTGTTTTAAGTTGGTCAAACTTCAAGGTCACGGGGCAACATTTATAGTGTATTTAGAAAGGTCTTGTCACAGATAATATACATGTGTAATATGAAAGCCCTATCTCTACTCATTCAAAAGATATGAACAAGGTTAAAGTTTTTTTTGTGACAGACGGACAGAACTTTCAGATTGACAGATTTACAGACTTAGTCGGACAGACGAATGAGATTTAATGTTCCCTCGCTTTCGCGAAAGTGGGGGATAAAAAGGGCTGTAGATTATTGGATACATCTCATTTGAAATATCATTGCGCCGGTAAAATAACTACATTTAACTTTCATTTGATAATTTGGAAGACAATTTTCAGATCTGAGAAAATTTTGAAAACTACCGGTATTGTATAATATACTAGTATTAGTTGAAACGCTCTGGTAACATGTTTCAAGAAATTCTACCAACAATTTTTATGGATGTAAACATAAATCTGCTTTTTCCCCCTTAATACATTGTTACTCATCTGTTTATCATGACCCGTAATCGAAAAATACGAGGTATATAGGTTTTGCCCTGTCCGCTCATCCGTCTGTCAGTCTGTCTGCAAACACTTTAACTATGTCAATAAATTTTGAATGAGTTTGGCTATGACTTTCATATTTCACAAGTGCACTCCTTGTGACAAGAACTTTCTTTTAGTGTCACCAAGTTTGACCCCTTGACCTTGGAGTTTGACCCACTTTTGATAAAAAAAATCTTTTGATTAGTTAGTGATAGTGCTTTATACTTCACATACGTGTATTCACTGTGCTAAAATCTTTCATTGGGTATAAAAATATTTGACCTTGACCTTAGTGTTAGGCCCACTTTATAAAAAAAAAACCTTAACTTTTGCCCTAAACGTTTGAACCATTAGTACTGTGGCTTTCATATTTCACAGCTTTGTTTTGTCTTCCTTTGGTTACCAACAATTTTGACCTTGACCCTAGAGTTTGACCCACTTATAAAAAAAACTCTAACCTTGACCATAACTTTTGAACCTTTAACACTAGGGCTTTTATATTTCACAGGCGTGTTCATTGTGACAAGATCTTCTTTTGATTACTAACAATTTTGACCTTTTGGCCTTAACCTTGGAGTATAAGGTCATTTGAGAAATTTGAACCCTTGCCATAAGCTGCCATTCGGGGGCATCAGTTTTTCACAAACACATCTTGTTTTTGGAAATATTTTATTAAAGTGAGGAAAATAAGGTAATTTTTAATTGATGAAAATAGATAAATACTGGAGAGTTATCTTGATGGAAATTTAGACAGGGGAGCACTAAGGAACATTAGTACATAAGTACTTTGTAATTTAGGAACTGACATGACCACAGATAATCGGTAAAGATAATATCTGTTGGCAATCTAACGGCAAGTGGAATTATACTATTCTAGAACAATGACACTTTTGCAAGGACTTGTACTTTTAGCAATTATTTCAATTGCAAACATTGGTCAAGTTAATGGTGATTCAAATATTACAACAACGATAAGTAATCTTTTCAAGAAACTCCAGGATATGCAAGCAACAAGATACAATCCAGGAATTCCGCCATTAATTTGGACTAAATTTCCCGGGGTTTACGAAAGTGACGTCAAAATGTATTTTCACGGTGCCCCCGTGGATGCAGCCCTTCGGTACTCCTTTGGAGTTTTTGATAATAACATGTTCGCCACAGCTTGGGTAACAACTTGTCTGATTGAGGCACACAAGTATGGGAAGGCACCAAAACCAACAACTCAAATGCTAGACTTAGCCATTAACTTTATAATGGATCATCGAAACAAGAACGCAAAATACAATAACTCAATTATGGCATTTTGGCCCCAAATATATGATGAAATATATAAGGTTTGTATAGTATCTCATTTTGTTGGAATATTCTTTCCTATGATTCTTTTTCTATATTCAGTGCTATGCTTAGAACACCATAAACATTTACAGTCATTTCAGGTGAAAATCAAATACATGTGTAAAAGAATTAAACCCGAATCTTTTTCTACAGGATTTTACCAGTACCCCTGTCAATCTGCTAGGTCTTTTTAATACCACGTATCTCATAGACTGGGATCCGATTTATAAAGAGCTCGATTCTCTTGGTCTCCAACACGTCACAGACACCATCAAGCACCTATTGGAGAGAAGGTAACAAGGAAGCTTTCAATGTTTCCTTCTTTGAATTAGTGTCTAATGAAATTTATCTGATTTATAAAGTAAATGGATCATCTTACTTCGGTTGTAGGGAAATGTATCAGCACGTTTTTCACATTCCTCCAGATTTTGACGATACCTCAGTTAACTTGGGTTTAGGTTCACTTCTGAAGGAGTACATCACCGACTTTCCAGATTCGTCCGTTTTGTGGCAAACCCATAATTCAAATCTTTCCTCTATCTTTAATGGGTTGAAACACTATGCCTATAAACCCACAACAAACGATTCAAGGGTGAATACGATAGACACACGTACATATTTCTATATGAGGCGTTTTCTAGAGAAAGCAACGTCAGAGAGAAAACCAGTTGCACTGATTACAACTTGGGTAGGTTATATAGTGTGGATATTTATATATACTTATTTATATATATTTATATATATTTATGAGAAACATAACTCACAAGACATACATATGAATGAAATAGTATTTTTACTGATATTTTCTTTCGCAGATTCAAGACTTTAACGACCTTAAAACTGAATATAACAAAGGTGTTGTAACTCCTGGTGACGTAAACAACGTTGACGTCACGGTGTCTGCAAATGCTCTGTATGGAATCACGAACAGCATTTTATCTGGTCTTGTGACAACCGAAATCCTGGAGGATCCCGAAGTACAGGTTCTAAAAATCACTGAAATTTCAGGTGTTATGTATACATGTATTATCGTAGCAAGATATCCAACGTTATTATGTTTTCCAACTTTTTGCTTGGCAGCAAATCTACTTGAACACTTCCACAATGATCACCTTCCAGATCAACACCAACTTCTCTTCTCGTCCAGATCTCGCGTTAACTTACTACCCATCAGTAATGGAGTTTTACTGGTTCGTGGCACGGACATACAATCTTCTGAACCGCAGATACCGTACCGGTGGTCTACCGCATCCTGTACGACGACTTATGTTCTAGATGTATTTTATATTCGTGTTTTTATTCCATTTACCCAGTGTATCTTCTAAATATTAATGTGTCCCTAATCCTTGTGTCTTTTTGTTCTAGGCAATGACAACAGTAATGCATGAGTTAGAGGAGGCCTTATGTGAAACAATGACAAAAGCTATTGTCAAAAAAGCCATTTTTATTGATGAAAACATGGCGTATTATGATGATTTTCTTGGAAATGGTGACGTTGATGAAAATGGTCATCATGTAGTAAGATACTGATAGGAAATTACAAAAGAGCAATAAGAATTCAAGAATTCTTGCGTGATATACCTGCATATTTATCCCAAAACACAGAAATGCCTTCATGTCTTTGTAGAAATATGGCGAAGACCGTCTTTTTACGACCTCCATGGCAGTAAATGCTCTAATTACAACTTGGACTTTATTCAACGTCCAAACTGGCCAGCTTCACTGGAGTGTAGGTGAGAAAGAACTTTCAATTGTTTTTTTCACCACTTTGGAAGGGAATAGGTGATGATCACTATTGACAGTGTCTTTGCAGAAACTCCGGTGGATGTAAAGAAAGTGGTATCAGCTTCGGTGTCTTTCCTTAATGAACACATCCTCAGTGGAGAGTATAAGCCATGGAACACATTTTTCTCAGGATCCGTCAAAGGGCACGAAGCAAGTCTCTTCATAGCTGTCTTATATACTGCTAAATTACCACACTGCTTAATTTGAAAAATGCATTTCTAGATCTATTCCAAATGCATCGATTTCAATTTTTCTTAAATATACTGTAAAGTTTTATTAAGCCCTCAGTATTAACAACATAAAATTGCCTTTATTAACAGATAACTTCTTCCTCTCGGTACCCAAACAACCGAAATGGATACATTAACGGAACAAAAATCCACATCCGGGGCATGGAGGGTGTGGTCAACGACACGTGGTACGATCAACAACTTAAATCTCTCAAGTCACCCATTGATTTCCATGGCTTCAACAGCTATCCGGATTACTTCCCCTTCTGGTGTTCAGAGCCATATACGTACGTTACCAGCATGTTAGCCCTTTCGACGTTTAATAACATTGCTAAAAATGATGTATGATGGCAAATACATTGAAAACCAGCCTACCTATCATAAATCACCTCTGTAAATAAAAAATGATCTTTTTGTACACATGTACTTTGAAAGATGCATTGCACATGTATTGTTTTTTTCAAACAAGAAAAGAATACATGCAGAAGATTGATTAATGTGTAAAACTGCAAAGGGCGATGAAGAAACAAAAACCATTTTGTCATAGTGATACTACATATCATTCTTTTAAGTAACTTTTCAATTGTTTTAATTTAGTGTTGATGTTGATACTTTAAATATTCAAAGTATGATAATAAATTAAATACATGTAAATTACATTCTCCAATGAGATACATGTAAATTACATTCTCCAATGAGATGATAGTTCAGCAAATGCTAATTCCCTGTTAAATCCTCGGATAAAAAAAATCATGTAATGTCCTTTGATCACTTTAAGAAGGATCAATTTTTACTAAGAAGTTAAAATTGTTTACTGAAGTAGAGAAATTAAATTGATACAAAATGTTATCACTATTCAAATGAGATCATATCAAATATCTCGTACTCATGAGACAGATAAGGGACGAATCTTAAAGAGTCTATTTCAACTTGGAAAAAGGTGTGTTTGTGAAACTCATGTCCTCGTAGGGCGACTTATGGCTAAGTGTTGACTTTTTTCAAATGCAAAATATATCCCAAGGTCAAATTTGGTGGTGCCCGAAGAATGATTGTCAAAAGGAATACACCTGTGATAGATGAAAGCCATTGCACACTTCTGAAAAGTTATGGGCAAGGTTAAAGTTTTTTTTGCGGATAAACATACAGACGGACGAACAGGGCAGAAACTATTAACCTCCAAATCTTCGATTACGGGAGCATAAAAGTAGGAACGTGGAAGAATACCACTAATTTTGGGCGTTTGGCAGAAGATTTTTAAAATCGATGTCGATTTCCTCCTTCTTTCTGGTTTGAAACAACATCTGCAGATCTCGTGTGCACATACTTCCGGTCCACTGTACCAATTTTTCATTGATAAGTATAATTGTTTAACTTTAATTTGTTAGAATCATGGGATATAAATGTGCGTTGTTCACATAGCACATAAAGAATCAGTGATTCACAAATATCAAGGTTGTCCGATTCTCGTCTTAATGTGTGAGCATTCGTCAAAGTGCTAGTCGAGGGCTTCTAAGGGTGAAGGTCACCGCAGGGCAGATAAGAGGTCATATTTCCAGATAAGGACCTCTCCGGAAATCATTCTAGAAAACCGTGCCATATATTGTATACTTTTATAAGATGGTTCCAGCTAGGTGCCAAAATATGTTGGTGGTTTTAATTGTTACAACGATACTTTTTGTTGGAGATGTGTCTGCTGCATCAAATTTGACTTCCACAATTAATGCTCTATTCCATAAACTTCAAAATATGCAGACAACAAGGTATAACCCAGCAGTGCCACCATTAGTATGGGCAAAGTTTCCCGGATCCTACGAAAGTGATGTTAAAATGTACTTCCATGGAGATCCGGTGGATTCTACCCTTCGGTATTCCTTTGGAGTTTTCGATAATAATATGTTCGCGACAGCATGGGTAACAACGTGTCTCTTGGAAGCGTACAATTTTGGAAAGGCGCCAAAACCAACTGCTCAGATGCTGGATTTGTCCATCAACTTTATCATGGATCATCATAATAAAAACCTAAACTATACAAATTCCATAATGGCGTTCTGGCCACAAATTTACAATGAACAAGCAAAGGTTTGTTTTTCCCTTCTATACTACTTTTTGGACAAATTTCTATTGCAATATTTGGATAACACATAAAAAGACTATTACCGGTTAAACCAAGAAAATGATTAAAATTCTTTCAACGTCTTTATCTTCTTTCCAATTTCCACGATATTTTTAAACATCTGTAAGAACGCTAAAGAGTTCAATCGTATCCAAATAAAGCTTGAAGCCATCAGTTCTCACATGTATATAACTGCACCCATTTTCAGTCACATGCATCGCGAATCATTGTTGTATCCTATTCAATAAGATTCTGGAAAAGTACTTGGTAACCATTTTCACAGTTTTGGTTACTACATGCAGTATTTTGTCTTTTTAATCTAGGGATATGTAAGTACACCAGTCAACCTACTGGATCTCTTCAACTCCACTTACCTTATAGACTGGGAGCCTGTATACGAGGAGCTGGATAAACTAGGTCTCCATCACGTGACAGAAACCATCAAAAGACTTCTAGCAACAAGGTGTCAAACCAAATCTGTATATTGATCTCTTCATTGCAATCATTCTTATTCTAATTCATTTGTTATGGCACATAAGAGTAAAGTCGGATTTCCACGTAGTAAGAAGTCAATGGGTATTATCAGTGGAAAATATTCTCAATTAGCTGTTCTCCTATTTCTAGGGAAGGTTACAAGCGGGTATTTCAGATTCCACCAGATTTCGACGACACGTCTGTTAATCTTGGATTGGGTTCCTTACTGAAGGACTTTATCTCTGAATTCCCCGACTCTGCTGTACTGTGGCAGTCTAGAAACACAAACCTGTCTTCCATTTTTACAGCCTTGAAACACTACGCCTACAAACCAACCACCAATGACACCAGAATCAACACAATAGATACACGCACGTACTTCTACATGAGGAGGTTCCTAGAGGATGCGAAAGCTAAAAACAAGAGTCTGTCATTAGTTACGACATGGGTAAGTAATGAAAATTTTCACTATTCATAACAGAGAAGTTACACTGAAAAAACTGAAAATTCTCCAATTGTTAAAAAATCAAAATGTGATATTAGCCCAGCATTCAATTGAATGCTTTGAATTCTTCATATGCCTGTTTAGTTGTAAAAATTGCAATCACATAACATATGCAGGTTCAAGACTTCGATGAC